TTTGGTCCCTTTTTCCCCCCCCCCCCCCCCACACACACACACACACAAAAAAAAAAAATCATGATATCTTCAAATATTTCGTGAGAGTAGAACAAAAACGATAAGGTCATAAAACATTTTTGTTGGTCACATTAAAGTACTACTAAACCTTACTTTACTCTCTATAATAGTAAAATCACCTTGATACGTAAAAATTATCCTTGCAACATGTAAAAACTCAATTGATTAAATCAGTGTGACAAAATAATTCCGAAATTAATTTTACTATCTGAATTACTCCATTTCATTTATATTGATCAAGTTAAATATATTCATATCTGATTTTTATAAAATAATAGGGAAACAATGAATGAGTATAGATCAGAGGTGAAAAAGCTAGCAGAAAGAGTGTTGGAAGTAATGGATGAAAATTTAGGTTTATCAAAAGGTTACATCAAGAAAGCCTTCAATAACAATAATAATGGTGCATTTTTTGGTACAAAAGTGAGCCATTACCCACCATGTCCACATCCAGAAAAGGTGAATGGTCTTAGAGCTCACACTGATGCTGGTGGTGTCATTTTGCTCTTTCAAGATGATCAAGTCGATGGTCTTCAAATCCTCAAAGACGGACAATGGATCGATGTACCTCCTATCCCCAACGCCATTGTGATCAACACAGGTGCGTGACCATCCTTCATTTGTCTGACTTTGATTTGACATGAATAATTATGCGTGCATAATCATGTCATTTATTAGATAATGATGAATAGTTCTTTTGATCACATTTCGTATTTTTCAAAATGACATGTTAATTTCAATAATCGAGAAAAAGAATTAACTATTCCTTTTAATTTATCATCAGCGTTTATAGATTGATCAATATATATAACAAGTATATAAAAAGTGTTTAAAATTGGTAACCTCGTAGAAATAGTAAATAACGTAACGTAACATGTCATTGGAGGTTAAACTACATATGCATAGTATATGATAAATCTTTACTTAAATCCATTTTACATATTTTATTTATCATATATACGTGCATGGACATCGATTCCAATGAAATTTGAGTTTATTCAAATTCGTTAATTTTGGCTCAAACTCTGTAGGTGATCAAATCGAAGTGCTTAGCAATGGGAAATACAAGAGCGTTTGGCACCGTGTCTTGTCAAAACCAGATGGGAATAGGAGATCCATTGCTTCATTCTATAATCCTTCATTGAAAGCCACTATTTCTCCAGCACCAGAGCTACTAATTTTGGAGGAAAAAAAAGTGGATCAATTAATTGCTACTTATCCAACTTTTGTGTTTGGGAATTACATGAATGTTTATAATGAGCAAAAGTTCCTTCCTAAAGAGCCAAGGTTTCAAGCTGTGGCTGCAATCTGAACTAGTTCTTTAATATAATTATGCATGCCTACCAACTTCTTTTCATTCAGTTTTTAGATTAAATAAAGGTAGTATGTATAATTAGTTTTTGTATCTGCTCTTTATTTAAAATAAATCTGTCCATTCTTGTCTTTGTAAATTTATTTATCGATTCCAGTCAGGTATGAAATCACCTTTTTTAAGGAGCGCTAGATTATCTCCCAATATGGACTTTCTTATAGAATTCAAATTTTTGTGATTTCAATACAAGTATAGGGCACCGCGGGTGAGAAATGAAAAGCATTCTTTTAACCTGACATAAATAACCGCCCACCAAATAATAGCCAACACATGTGTATTTTTTTTTTGTATATTAACAACTTATACAAAAAAGTTTTAATAACAAGTTTGATGTTAAAAAATAAAAACAAAATATGACAAAGCCTATACCACATTTTAATCAGGTAAGCTTCAACAGACTCTTGATGAAGTTGCATCGTTAAGGACGATGACCAAGATGCAGAAATATCTCAGACAAATGTGCAAAGATTGACACTTTATAATTAACCATGTGAAAATAGCACTGTACAAATTTCTTACTTTGAAAAATAAGGTATAACCCAACTGCATAAATCACAGCCAGATGCAGAGTAAAATATAACCGTATAGACTCTTAGTATATTAGTTATTTTTCTCTTACATGTATGACTGTACACTAATTTACATGAACGAGAGGAGGATTAATCTTTGATAGTCTCAGAGTGCTTTCTGCTCTAGTCTATCGTTCCAATTTAGACAACGAACCAAGCTATGAAACCAATCGCCTGTCTGATCAGATTTGTTAACTGTAGGTAGTGGATGCTCGCTCATATATATGCGAACAGAATCTCCTCTAGAGAGTTGTTGCCTTCTCTTCCCATCAAAAGAAACCCAAGCATTGCTACGTGCATCCTCTGGTATCTGTTCATATGTAAAAAAAAAACATGTACATTCTTAGAGAGTGATAAAATGAGAGAAGCAATGAATCTGGAATAGACAATTATAGGCTATGATCTTCCCACAAATGAGATCTCACTGATATACTTGAACAATGTCATGATGTAGATATCAAGTGCTGATATGTGCAGTTTGGACATGTATTACTAAGGAACTAATCCATTTAGTTAGGATCTAAAATGGTAACCATGGTGTCCTCGACTAATTCCACGGGAGCACCCTTCACATAGTAATGGCTCCTTGACCAAGAATATATGCTTCCCATCACAATTTAGCGGAAGTTTTTGGTACACGTATCCGGCCAGTAACTGAATGCTGGTATCTCTGTCTCGGCCTCGTCTGCACCACTACATGGAACTATAATTACCAGCAGCCCCTTTCTCAACATAATTTGTATTTGGTTGTTATATTAGAGCTTCGCTCACCTTTCTCTCTTTGACAACATCCTCAACTTTATAATACTAAGCTATCTTTCCCAGTTCAGCAGTACTTATATCTGACATCTATGCAACTTCTAGTTCAAGATCCTCTAGTAGAGCAAAATTTGTTGGGCTAACTAGGCCCAGTTGTGCTATCTCACGAGAATAACTAGTGGTCCTTTGCTATTGTCACTACTAGTACCTAACTCTATAGGCTCGACATTTTTGCAAACACCAATCCTTGCTTAATAGGGCAATCCAAAAAGGAGAACGAGAACAGCTGACTATTGTTAAAAGTCAGACTAAGAATACAGATCATATGATTGAAAACTGCCGCTACATACTCCCCATGCTTGCAGGTTTGACTGGTACTTTCTTTCCACCAGCTGCTTCGATCAATGTTAAGGCTCCTACACCCACATCTCCTACAAAAGCAGCTCTAATGCCTTTGCACTGAACTTGGCAACTATATGGGCATTGGTCGCATCTTCAATAATGAAAATACTACCATGTGTGGAGTTTTGCATCATTAAACACAGCTGTTCGTTTTGCCCAGCATCTATCTAAAATTACAATTAAAATTTGATTTTCATCCGTACGGTCCAACAATAAGCATTCGGCTACCAAATAATAGTTTAATTCACATGATATATGGAACTAAATTATTTCACCCCACACACTAAGCTTTATGAGTTAGACTATAGAAGATATCCCAATAGTTCTCGTTCACTAGGGCACAATAAATACAAGCTTAGAACTGAGCCCATTCTGATTAATGTGCAATGAGTGATGCTACTAAACCCTAAATGTGATGCCGAGGAGATTCTCAAAGTGAAACCTTGAACACCATTCTCTAGAAACCCTTGTCAGCTATGTTATTATTTCTAAAGATTCTTGTTCTCAGCCTTTTCCCGCCTCAAAAGCAGTACTCCTCCCTAACCAATAATAGAATCAACCGAACCACAACCATTTTGAACCAGTTTAGCCATATTTCTGAATTTAAAACATCTTTAGACCTTCCCCACAGCAACAAACCAACAACCATATTATGAAAAGAGAATGTTTGCTAGTTAACTGCATCTTTTTCTCAAGCGGTGTCCAAGCCAGCTTGCGCGCACCTCGACTAATTCCACGGGGCACCTGCCACATCCCACCGTATAGGTACCGGGTAACACTATCCACCAAGGTTAGGATAGATGAGAAGAAATCACTTAGTGTTTTTGGCTCCTCTGAGAATTGAACCTGAGACCTCATGGGTCTCAACATGCTTCATTGACCACTAGGACACACCCTTGGATGCACTAGTTAACCACACCTTATGAAGATACAACAATTTTAGCTGATGTAGAGCTTAGATTTAAGAGCTTCTCATTCACGGGTGTAACACCTAAGGAAGACCTGAACAAACCACATACTTTGTTCTATATGGCTCTCAAAAACATTTTAACCAAACTCTTTGTTCTATACTTTGCAACATTGGTCCCCAGATCTAGCCTAATGACTTTGAGGAAAAGAGTATCCATATACAAAATATCATGAAGTTTTTATCTAATTACAACATACAATGCCCTAGAATGAAATTCAGCACCCTAAGTCCTCACCTGATGCAAGACTCTTGAACTAATGATAAATTTAACATGATGTACTTCTTTCATCCCAAGAGATATACCAATCTGAAAAAATTATTTTATATTAGGCAGCCCTGGATAAGTGTATGTAGATCTTTTTATCAGGGAAAATTACTTTTAGATGTCGCTTAGTTATTAATATATCAAAGAAAAGGCCAAGACAGTTAAGAATACACAGGAACTACATATTTTTCTACCCTTTTATATGTGTTAAGTGATTACATATTTCCAGACCATCATCGTATACAAATAAATGAAGCTGAGGGATAAGATTAGCAGCACTAAAGAAAGAATAAAGCTCTTAACCTCTTCCATTTTAGATGGGAGATACTGTCAACTGTATAAAGTTTTTAGTTAGGAAATGAGAGGCATTAGCATAAACTAGTCATACTTTTTTTCTTTGGAAAGTAAACTAGTAATGAGAATCTTTTCCAGTAATCATAAAATACATATTAAGACAGTCACCTTTAGTTCCAGTTTTGCAGAATCTGGAAGTATGACAGGCCTAAACGAGAGAGAATGTGGACAAATTGGTGTAAAGAGCATGCATGGAACATTAGGATGCACCTGCATGACATGAATTTCCCTGTCAAATAATGTTCACGCATTCAATAGGTGAAGGTAAAATAATTAATAATTGTTGGCAGGATGAAGAACGGTTTCAAGGAGTCAGATTTCATCACCAATAAGATCAACAGCAAGTCAGTAATTTCCAAAAAATTCCTTTCATGAGTAGATCCTTAAGAACATTGTGTGTCAGAATCAAATTTAAGGTGCAAAACCCATTCTTTCACAAAATTGTAACTTCAAGTTTTTGTTATTAGAAAAAGAACAGCTAAATACAATGTTTACACAGAATGAAAACATGTTCAGATATGTAATGGTAACTCAAGTGGTCTGACAAAGCTCAGTTAATACACAATAGGATTTCCCAAAATTGCTGCTATTGATGCCTAATAGAAATTCCTCTTTGGAATCATTTACTATAAAAGGGAGATACCTACTCATTTATTTGCTTTAATGTATGACAAGTGTTATCAACCCAACTTTGTCAACAATTCTTAAAAGTCATACTTGCAAAGTGAATGTACTTTACAACGAAGTGCACGGTGTCCTTTCTATTTTTCATGTTTTCAATCTTCGTCTTTTCCTTGCCTTTATTAGGGGGCGAGGGAGCTTAGTGGGTGTGTTATTCCCTCCCTAACATTTATTGCTGCCACATCAAACTGCTCGAGCTATAAGCATCAACCTTCTGATATGAGTTTAAGGGCTTTCACTATTTTTTTATCGTTAGGACTTTAACTTTTAACTTGGTCTATAGATTCTAATGCAGTATTCACTTGTGACATTTCACAATATATATTCATAAGTGATGTGTCTCCGAAGTACCATGGAACCCCCAGCAGCTGTTGAGTAAGCTGTACTTCCAGTTGGAGTGGCCACAATGACACCATCACCTTGCACCTGCCAAACAAAATAAGGCAGTATGACAAGATTATTCTTTCATCTCTTGCTCATTAATTCAGCAGTGCACTTGTTGGATCCACTTCTTTTTTTCTAGAAGAAACGTGATCTAAAATATTAAAACAGAATCCCTCTCTAAATCCTTTGTCAGGGAAAATTGATGGTTAAGAATATAAACCGCACCTTGGTTATGAGGCGGTCATGTTCATAACACTCTATTTTTGACAGGTATGGATTAGAACCACGATCAACTACAACTTCATTTAGGACATCAAACACCTTTCCAGGCATTGCTTTCCCGCTTCGGAATATCTCACATCGGAGACGCATCCTTAGGGTTATATACACACCATCTAGAGTGTTGTTTCCATGGATGACTTTTCTAAGATCCTTCTTATAATCTTCAAACTGTATGAATTGATGACAAGAAGCAAAAGATCAGTACTTATAGATAATAAATAAAAGCTTAACATTTAAGTTGAGAGGCATACTGGATGGGAAGTGAGAAATCCAAGGGATCCTAGGTTAAATGAGATGACGGGTGGGACAGCACCTCGAAATATATTTGATGCATGGAGTATCACACC